GTGCATTGACAGAATTTATGAAATATGCTACGTCCTATGGGATGCACATGTATACGTATTATTATGGGATGCCTTAATTATATTTGTGGACATGAATAGTGTTTTATTGACTAGAATTATCGAATTACTGTTGCATGATCATATTTATGTTAACTGCTCATTGTGCATGGTACACTGGTGTTAGCACTCGCCCAGGCCAGAGCCAGTCTTCACGTGTTAGCACCATTGTTGGTGCTAGTCCTATCCAAGCTTTGTATTGGCAATTAGGACTTGTAAGTGATGCGCATAGCGCTAGTCTTCACGTGATTGTAGTACTAAAGTGTAAATCATTATTACATCCAATCATGTTCATCTTAGAATACCTTTGTATGAACTCGTGTGTCAACATATGTCGATGAGCACCCGATATTATATGTTCGTTTATGAGAGATATTGTGATTACTGGATGCTATATGTTTTATATTTGAAATATTATGATTTATCCTATTCCTGAAATCTTTATTGTTCATGGTAAGTGCTTTCATACTGTATGTAGTATATCTATTTGGAAACTATATTGTTTTACGGCGACGGGTTATATGTTTTCGAAAAGGTTTTGACAAAACTTTATTTTCAGGCCTGTTTACCCTTGTTTTTCACCCCTTTAAGATTTAATGGTAAAGCTCTTGTGTTGACGAGGATTCATGGAAAAACGTTGTATAGGAGACTACTTTCGATGGTATAATTTTTATTCTAATTTTTAGTACTTTACTTATACTCTGACATCACATGCGAAATGAGTTCAATCCTACTCACTGATAGGAGCATATTTAGGCGACTTAGTTAGCTTGTTTTCTTAAATTTTTGTTGTTAGTTCATAGTTATTTTAGTGTTTTGAGCTATTTTCGTGTGTTTGTAGGTCCAAATGGCTAAAGTAGCAAGAAAATGCATTTTGGTGCATTTTGGAGCAGTTTTGGGCTTGGAATGGATAGCATATGGTTGGAGTAAGATGGATGGACGAAATTGAAGACCAAAGGAGGCTAGGAATCTGCTAAAGAGATGGAAGAAATTAATTCAAGATTTGGAAGTAAAGAAATCAGCCATAAAGAAGGAAACATGAGTCAAATTTCCTTATTTTGACTTGGTTTCCCTAAATCTTTCCTACATAAGTTCCAGTTGCCAAAGAGGGTCCCTAATTAATTTAGGACACTTAAATACAAGTTCTAGAAGCCTTAATCCCAGCCAAAGGGGGATGCCGCACCCAACTTAGCCTTTATTCTTCCTTGCCGTGCAAGGGAAACAACATTCCCTTTCTTATTTTCCTTGCCGCAAGTTCCTATCCCTTTTCCCTTGGGATTCTGACTTTAATTCTCCTTTTCCTTGTGGATTTGGGGTCCAATTCTTTCCTAAAACATTGAATTAAAGTTTAGATCCTTTCTCTAAAATATATACCTTGTGCCGCACCCATAGACACATCTATTCATTCACATACACAACCAGCCATCATTCATCCTTCTACACATCATCTCGTAGCCTAGCAAGGAAGAAGGATAGGAGAAATAGCCTTGGACATTTTTACATTCAATTGAATTGTTGGAACATTTTTAGGTGTAATCTATCTTTTGTTTTCAATGTTTATTTTAAGTTTTCTTTGTTTTGCTGTGAACATGAGAGGCTAAACTTGTTTTAGCTAGGGGATACTTTGAAACCATGATTATATTTGCGATATGAATTGATTAATTCCAGTTGTGATTTCATAAATTGTGAATGCAATTTATTTAACAGTTTGATTAAGAACTTATTCTTGTATGTTGATTAAGGAGGCCTACTTAGTTTGCATACTTGAATTTGATGCTAGAATATAAGGGAGTTTCACATAATTGTTACAAACTTATATTCACAAGTAGTAAAGGTTGCTTGTGGCAATCATGTTAAGTTAAATTCCTGGCATGAGTATCATGATGTCATAGTTACGAATGCTTTGTCAATGTTTATGATTTTCACAAAACTTAATGATCTTTGCTTGTGTCTCTATTCTGCAGTTCATGTAGGGAACATGGGAAGAATAATTTGGTTGCCGATACGTTGTCCATCCAATTCAATGACTTAGGGAAAATCTGAGGGTTAATTAGTGATGTCACAGTTAATCTGGAGTGTTGAGGTTCATGGTTTATTGAAAAAGTAACTGGAAATCAATTTGTATGCAAGTGTGTCATGTGTGGAAAAGGACCCTCTAGCTAGCTTATCAACCATCCATTCACCCTATTTCGTATCAAACTTTGTTTAAGTCTTTAAGTTACTTGTTTTTACTTTAAATTCGTCAAAAACCCAATCCCCTTTACTTTGTTGTGTCAAATTAGTTAGAATTTGTCCTATTGTGTGTTTTTAAGTGTTTTGAGTCAAAACCAATTCAATTTTCGTTCAAAGTAAGTCCTAGAGTCTAGTTTGAGTCTATTTGATTGTTTTGTGCTCTTTTGAGTCTTTTTAGTTGTTTTGAGTCATATAAGTTTAGTTAAGAGTCTTTGAGTTTATTTAAGTATTTTTAAGCCTAGTTTTGTATCTTTGAGTCAGTTTTTATTAGATTAGCAATCCCTCCTAATCCCCGGCCTAGAACGATCCCTACTTACATCTTTATTACAATTGTCAATAAAAGGGTTTAATTTGAGTGCTATTATTTACACATCACTCACATGTGTATTCTTGTATTTAGTTACTTTTCGGTTTAAATTTACTCACATTTTCCACATCACTACACTTTATGGCTTCGTCACCTTCCTGATGTCGATGAACATAGCTCGATTCAAAGTCCAGGTGGACATTCCGTGTCGAAATGTGTCGGGGTTTTAAGATGAGTTGTAATTATAAAAAAGAGTTGCTAGAGTTAAGACACGTACTCTTTTTTTGAAGCAATACAAAGTGTCCTAGAACTGCCTCAGCTTGTTTCAATGCCCACTGGTGCTCTATCAAGTCAATTTGCTGGGCATTGTGCATGTCTGACATTTGAAATGCAGTATATCGTTGAATGAGCCTTTTATTGTAAAGTTCATCCCTTTGTAATGACTCATGTTGCACGGGTTCATCGGTGGTGTCATGAGCACAATATGTACGTGTTCTTGAATTGTTCATCGTGTTTGGCTCATATTCATCAACGGCTTCCTAATCGTACTCATCTTCCACAATCATGTTGTGAAGAATTATGCACGTCATCATGATGGATCGAAGCGACTCTACATCAAACAATCTAGCAGCACCCCTGACGATCACCCAACGAGCTTGGAGGATACCAAAACAACGCTCCACATCCTTCCTGCACCCCTCTTGATAGCTTGCAAAGTGTTTTTCCTTTGCACTTCGCAGATGTGGCACTGTTTTGACAAATGTTGACCATCGCGGGTGAATGCCGTCAACTAGGTAGTATGGCCCGTCGTACATACGTTCGTTGACCTCATACGTGACTTTTGGTGCCTTTCCTTGCAGGACATCGTTGAACACTGGGGATTGAGTAAGGACGTTGATGTCATTTTGAGCTCCAGGAACCCTGAAAAAGGCGTGCCAAATCCATGTATCAAAAGATGCCATTGCCTCCAGAATGATACTTTTTGCTCCTTTTCTGTCCCCATAAGTGCCTTGCCATGCACATGGACAGTTTTTCCACGAGTGCATACAATCAATGCTTCCAATCATCTCAGGAAAACCACACATCTCGGCCTTCTTCAGCAGCCGTTCCAAGTCCATGTTTGTAAGTTTGCGGAGGTACTCAGCGGTGTAGATAGATTCGATTGCTCCGCAAAACCTTATCAGGGACTCAAGAATGGTTGATTTCTCCATCCTCATTATCTCATCCACTTGGTCAGCAGATGCTCCATATGTAAGCATCCACAAGGCAGCAGTATTTTTTTTATGAGGAAAGAGACCCATAGCACCAACAACATCATTCTTTTGCAAAAAGTAAGAATCATGGTTGCAAACAGCAATCATGATTTTGTTGAACAAATGTCGTTCCATTCTAAAATGACGTCTAAATTACGTATCAGGGAATGCACTATTAGGGACAAAATAATCGTCCAAGAGTTCCATACCTCGTCGTTGCTTGCTTCTATCAAGGTTTCCGGAACTGCTGGGCCTGCAGATCTGAGCCACAGCTTGGATGACTCGACGGGAATGTGAGGCTTTGCCCATTCTTACTTCGTCATCTCTCCTTCTACGCTCCTCATCTTCTTCCCTCTCATTTTTTGCCCCTTGGTGGTTGAACATTCCTTCTGATTGGTTAAACAATTCTTCCTTTTCCTGATTGAATTCCCATATCATCCTTGAGGAAGAAGAAGACATTGTAAGAAAGAAGAAGAAACTGTGAATAATGATACAGATTTTTGTGAAGAAGGAAGCAGAAACTATGAATAATGACAGAGATCTTGAGAAAATTGGTGTGAGATTTGTAAGAATGGATGGTGGATTATATAGAGGATTCAGAAAGGATTAGGTTGTACATAATACCACGTGGCATGCCGTCATTCGTTAAAAATATGATGGAAATCTATCCTCAAATATTGTAAACAGATTATGACACGTGGCGCGATGTGATTGGTTAATAATCTTATCAGAAATCCATCACCAATAATTGTATTTTCAGATAATGACACGTGACATAACGAGTACGATTAAAAAATTTATTGGAAATCTATCCCCAATAATTGTCTTTTCGGATTTTATGACAAGTGGCGCAATGACAACGATTAAAAATCTTATCCGAAATTACAAATAAAATTATTTTGTATTATTTAATAATACTTCGGATAATGACATGTGGCGAAACGAGAACGATTAAAAATCTTATCCGAAATTACAATTAAAATTATTTTGTATTATTTTATAAATAAAAAAAATACTAATATTTTATTGCATATTGCCATGGCTATTGAAGTGTAACGGTGGAAATGCAAAGGTTATTGCCATGACTATTACTGTTCATTAAGGGCAGTTACTATTCGTGGATTAAATAGTGAATAGTCTAGGAGGGCTTTGGAGATGGAGGCCATGGAGAGAGAAATGGTGTTGTCATTCGGTGAGGGTTTTGGAGATGGGAGGCCATGTAGTCTCTGAGATGGAGATAGAGAGAGAGAGGGTGAGGGAGACAGCGACAGAGAAAGAGGGAGACTGAGGAGTAGGGATCACTGCTGCTGACTACTCGGTCACTGACTCAGATCTCCTCCTCAACACCAACACCCACAGAGTCCAGTGTCTTCTTCTCCAAGCCCAAAGAAGGCAGCTTCGCCGACATGATCGATAAAGCTTTGGAGAACGAGTTTGAAGAGAATGATTAGAACGAAGGTTAGTAGTAGATCCGATGTTCTTCCTCTTTCTATGCATTTGGTTCAAATTAGGGTTTGAGGTCAAAACCCGAAACGAGAAGAGAAGAAAATATGAAGGATATTTGGACTTTATGTTTGGCTGAGAGGAAAAGATTACAAATTTGTTAAGAAAAGTTTGTTATGGTAGAATTTCATTCTTAAAAATCCATCAGATCATGCTTAAATTGTTAAATGCACACACTCTCTGTTCTTTCTCTCTCGCAGTGGCTCTCTCCTCCCCATACTCAACCCTCTGCTTCTTCTCTGATTCATGGTTGGGTGCAGCGGCAGCATAGAGCTTTCGCCGGAGGAAGAAAGGATTTTGATACGAGACATTGCTTTGCCTGCTGAAGCCAATTTCAAAGAGGGCGATGTCGTCTACTTGCTCACCCGAAGGTTCCAATTTTTTTGCATTATTTTGGGTTTATTTATTTATTTATGAAATTTGATGACTAATTTTTAAATAATGTGAAATTAGTTCTTCGCTGTGAAATGTTCATTTTTCAGTGTTTCTGTTAAAACAATGAAATCTTAATCTTCTATCAAATGGGTTGTAATTTCATATGTTTTAATGTAAACAGTTCGCTGATTTTAGTTGTGGTGTGTTGGTCTGAATTGCAGGATTATTAAGGTTTTATTTTCTGATTTGGATTTTGAAATTGAGTAATTTTCTGCTGTCTTTTGAGTAGGCGTGGGATTTAGTTTAATGCCAGGGGTTGTAATGGGTGGATCGAACTTTTCGAATTTCAATTCCCCCTAATTCTCTTCATTCCAACTTTGAGGTATGGTTTTAATTGTTTGTTTGCACTTTGAGCTTTTGGCCATACCTGTTATTTGGATGCTAGGAAAATTTACATGCTATTTGGATACTAGGAAAATTCATGTAACTCAAACAAGATTGTTTTCATAATTTTCTGAGAAATGTGGAATTTTGTTTCAGATGGTATTGACTATTTTTCAAAATCCTATAATCTGATCAAAGTTCTGAATTTCTATTAAGACCAATATTAGTTGTGAGATTAAGAAATTTCGTAAATCGTTTTTGGTTCAAGAAATTCCAATATTCTTTGTTGGTCCTTGAGATTTTCATTAGTATTGAGTATAGTGGTTTTTGGGGCAGGTTTGCATGGAAGATGAGAAGACGATCTCTGTATCCTTAGAAACACGTATTTCAGAAAGCTTGATGATTCGCCTATGTTTCGCGAACAGGTTTGTTCTTTTCTAAATGTTTATATTTAGTCTATTTACGCTCAAGTGTTAAGTCATGCTAATATAGATGTGTGCAGGTTATCTGTTTTCACCATAATTTTCATATAATTTATGAAGAATGTATGGGAACGACAATGATAGAGTGGATTATGTGAGTCTCACTATATAAACAGTGGATTCCACCTGATTGTTCCCCCTCTCAAAACATAGTTTGGGTGGATTAACTAAGATATATGTAGTTAATCTTTTTGTTTGTCTATGAGTCATGGTTTTGAACTTTTGATGGTTGGTGACTAATAATGTAACATATAATTAATGGGACAGGTAGTGGCACATATTTGAGCAGGGCTTGGAGAGGCGGACCCCAGATGGTGTATGCCTACACCAGCATGACTAAGGTGGTTAACCCTGCTGGCTGGAGCGACGATAACCACGCCGAACGTGACAAGTAAGCAGATTATGTCGATTAAAACATTATTAAGCGTTTTCATATGATTAGTTTTGAGAGTTAATAATATAATTTGAAATTGCAGAAATGTGGCCTACAAAGAGTACAAGTGCATGGGTCCAGGTTCATGTACATAAAATAAGAGAAATTTGAGCAAAGAACTGACTGACAAATAATTCAAGCCTTTCACTAGCCTTGGATCTATTCAGGGTATGGTTGCTTCCTCCTCCATATCCAAAAGTGTGTCTATATATATATATATATATATAGACTAGGTACATGACGTCATAACTGTGTATTGTTCACATGTTCGCTTAATCACATCTCGTTGTACGGTTTTTTATTCCTCAAAATCACAATTGGTAATATCCTCACACAAAGAAATGCTTCTGTTGGAATATTGTTTCATCGTTCGGTTGAGCTCTTCTTCTGTATCTTGCTCATACACTGGAAGGACTCCGCACTTGTTCACCTTCAAGCATGTCTTGCTTCCGACAGCATCTGTTGTTTGGAAACGAAACCGAATCTGATCCCAACATTTCTCCTCCCAATGATTGGTCTCAGGTTGGACTTGCAAAACGAATTTACTAGATATAAATACCAACCAAAGGTGATCTGACGCTACCTCGTTAAGCAGAACTCCAAAGCCGATCGTATGACTGTCTTGAAAGGTGTTTGAACCAAAACTGGGATAACATGTAATTTTATGCCTATGATGTCTTGGAAGCCATTTTAGTCCATGATTGGGAGCAGAAATATTTTGAGCGGAAGAAAATAGAGCGCATAAAGCAAACCCCACCACCTTGCTATTGCATGAGGGCGAAGGTAGCTTCTCAATCACCGAATCTCCCATGCTTTGGTTATTGAACCACTCGGGAATTTCACTTCCAGGAATTACTATATTCAAATATTCCTCAAAATGAGGGAGCTCCTGCACAAAGGAACAACGTAAATAAATGTATTGCAACCTTGATTTCCAGCCAAACTGAAGCAATTGACAGCAGTCAACCAAAAACTCCTTAAACTGCAAGCATGTGGTAAATCTTGGAGCATTTTTAAGGAAGTACAATTCTCCGTGTTTATACTTAAATAGCTGTTTAATGGAATGGCAGGCAGTTGTTGAAGCCTTTTGCAATTTCGCAAATCAAAGTACAACAGCTTAAAAAGTCCACTGATGCTTGTAGGAAGGCTAACAAAATGGTTTCCGCTAAGATTTAGAATTGCTAACGAGGACAAGAAACCAATATCATCGGGAATTGCTCCTTCACAAGGATTGCAGTTCTCCAGATTTAAATCCCTCAGCTTAGAAAGCCCACCAATGCTTGCAGGAAGGCTAACCATATGGTTTCCGCTAAGATTTAGTCTTTCTAAAGAGGACAAGAAACCAATATCATCAGGAATTGCTCCTTCACAAAGATTGCACTCCTCCAGATTTAATTCCTTCAGAAAGCATAAATCTTTCAACGAAGCTAAGACCACACTCGCAGGGTGAGAAATCTTTGCTGGAAATTCGCTAGAAGTGAAGAAGGAACGCCATGATCTATCTGGTGCTGCATTGCATCCAAGAAAATTTGATGCTACCAAATTTTTCACTGAAACCAGGGAGGATTCCGTCTCTCTCAAAGCAATTCCACTTAAATCAATCTCCTCCAAACTCCTACGTATAACTGAGTAAGGTATTTCCCGAACGCCAGTTCCGCTTAAAGAAAGCTTAGAGAAAATTTTCATTTCTCCAACAAATTCTGGAATCTTTTTCAGTTTTGAGCAGCCAGAAATATCAAATACTTCAAGAAATTCCATTTCTACCTTGTTTGGGAGACTCTTCACACTTTTACAGTCTTTAAGATTTAAAAGTCTAAGCCTTCTCAGAAACGCAATGGATGAATGAATCTTAACTAAATTTGTACAACCTTCAAGAACCAGCTTCTCGAGATTTTGAATACCTGTGAAATCTGGGGTCCTTGTCAAGTTGTCGGAGTAACTAAGATCGATAGACTTCAACTTGCCCAAGCGCTGTACAAAATAGAAATGTTACAACAGTTCCTGTTCAGAAACTACAATTATTGTAATTGACAAAGTAAAAATCAATTGTCCAATCATCTACCTTTATTCCATCCCAAAGGTGATCGATTTTGCTATGCTGCAGACTAAGTATTGTAAGTTCATCCAGTTGAAAAATTGGTGGTGGACTTTTGGAGGGATACCAGCTCCATTTGAGAACTCTCAAAGCATTCGGAAGATACTTGGGGCCCTTAGAAAGGCTCACATTATGAATGTCGAGCAACCTCAGCTTACACATCTTAGTGAATGCTTCAGGATTCCAGTGTGCCTCTTCAAATTCACTCAAGCATAAGACTATGGCTTCAATTGCCTCTGATCCCTGATAAATAAGATTAAAGGAATAGTTAATTTCGTAATCAAGTCTCTTATCATGTTAAATAATATTATAGTGTCCTATCCAAGCTTTGGTATTTTCATGTTCACACAACTTCTTACCGTATTCTTTGTGAGCACGTGCAGGATATCATTACGAAGCCACAACCAACTACGACCACCTGGCTCATGGTAAGACTCTCGTCGAACAATCTCCCATGTCATTTCTTGTATCAAATCATGCATAGACACAGACTTGTGTGAAATATACAAGAGAGATTTCTCAATAAGAACATCGATCACAATGCGAGCGCCAACAAAGCCACAGTTTTCTAGTCCTTCAATTACTTGCTCCTTTTCACAAGACTTATGGAAACATGCAATGTCAAGGAAGATTCTCTTCTCAAACTCATCTAGTCCATCATAACTTACTTTCAATGTTTCAAAAATTTTCCTATCAGGAGCTTGCTTCAGTTTATCTAGTGCACTCTTCCATTCAGCTCGACCTCTTTTGTACAAAAAAGACCCTAAAGTTTTAAGAGATAATGGAAGACCACTTGCATAACTGATGAAACATTTAGACAATTTTAAAAAATCTTCTTCCAACTCATCATCTTTAAAGGCTTTCCGACTAAAGAGAAAAAGAGCTTCGTCTTGGGTTAATGGCTTAACCTCATATACCTTCTCTATACCATGTTCGACTAACAAACGTTCATTTCTAGTTGTAATGACAATTCTACTCCCGAAACCAAACCACTCTTTTTGTTTGACCAACTTTTCCAGTTGGTCTGATTGATCCACATCGTCGAGTATGAGAAGAACCTTTTTATTAAATAAACACTTACTTATCCTGGTGATTCCACTATAAGCATTCCAAACTTGTATGTCATTGTCCCCTAAGATATCAGGAAGAAGCTGCTTTAGTAGATGAGCTATACCATCCTTAGAGCACACCTCTCTAACATTAGCAAGAAAGCTGCTACCTTCAAAATCATGAGAAATTCTATCGTAAACTAATCTAGCTAGGGTTGTCTTACCCACTCCACCCATCCCCCATATCCCTATAAAGCGAACATCATTTGCATCTGTATCTAAAAGCAAATCTATTTCCTTCAGTTTAGAATCGATTCCGACAAACCTCTCTGAGCAATCTAACATTGAAAACGGAGGATGCACTTCCTCCCATAGTGTATTGACGATTCGTTGGATAAGCTCTGTATCATACCTACAAGAAGAACAAACAACGTAACTAAAAAATCATCACATCCTAAAATAAAGTGCATGGTAACGTTGAAACTCAATGGTAAAAAATTGTTCTTCAGCTATAAACGTCAGTTGTTGCCTCATGCTTACCTACAATCCTTTGAATTCCACCCAGCGAGATTAGCCACCCTTTCTAACGACTTTCTCCACTCATTTACCTCCTCCATGTGTTCTTGATAATTTACCTCATGCTCTGCAAAGGCTTCGCCAAAACTCCCTCGTTGATGGCGTACATCAGAAGGTTCCACGCCATAAAAAATGGGAAAAATTCTCTTTTTCTCTTCCATGCAACGAACAATATGAGTAAGTTCTCGCAAACACCAACTTGAAGAAGCAAAGTTTGTCGAAAGAACTATGATTGCAGACCTTGATTGGTCAATGATAGGAGCATATTTATACGACTTAGTTAGCTTGTTTTCTTGCATTTAATTAGCTAAACTATGTTAATTATAGTGTTTAAAGTTATTTTCGTGCAAATTCAGGTTTTAGTGTCAAAGTATGCGAAAAGAAGCAATTTGGAGCATTCTAGAGCATTTTTGGGCCAAGATTGGATAGTGCAAGCATGGAGGCATGAGGATGGACGAATTTGAAAGGCTTGAATTCAGTTATGGAGTAGTTTGGGGAATTAAATGGATTGCATATGCTTAAAGCCAAGTAGATGGACGAAATTGAAGACCAAACCATACACTTATCACTTATCATAACCATAACCATACCTTCCCCCTTTGCACATGCAGCCACATGCACCCAAACTCCCCTTTGGCCGTGACTTCCCCTTCACAACACACCATTCCAATCACTTAATGCCGTGCATTATTCCCCCTTCATACAAGCCATTCCACAACTTTTCCTAGCTGTTTTGCACATGCATTCCCTTCAAATAAATCAGCCACATGCACCCATAATCATTCAACCAACTTTGCACATGCATTCATCATCATAACCTAGCTGTCATTCCACTTTAATCCATATGCATTCCCTTCATAAATCAGCCACATGCACACTCAATCACTAAACCCATCTTTGTGCCGTGCATTACTCCTTGCATTTCCAGCCATTCCACATGCTATTTCAGCCACATCCTTCCATAATCATTCACATCCTTGCCGTGCACATGCTCTCCCATTTTCAGATTGAAGCCACATGCATTTCCAGCACCAAACACCACTCATTGCCGTGCACTTTCCCATTTCCAGCTTTCCTTCATGATGGCAGCCACATATTCACCCACATGCACTCCCATCCCATTTCCAGCTTTCCACCAACAACCTAGCTGTCATATTCTTTTTTTTTAATCATTCATTTACCTATAAATAAGCATCCATTGCAACCACAAAAGGGAGAGTCATTCATTCAGAAATTCCCATTCATACACAATTCACACTCCAGAAAATCCCCTTGTGCCGTGCCTCCCTTACAATCCAAACACCATCCTTCCATTTCCACCACTCCCCAAACCATTCACACCATCAAACTATCCTTAGACCTTGTGCCACAATAAAGAGGAAGAGAAGAGGGCCTAAACGTTCATACAATTCAAGTTTGAGTTGTTGGAATGTTTAGGTGTTTCTTTGATTTCAATGTTTAACTTCAATTCTCTTTGTTTTGTACGTATGAGGAACTAAACCCCCCTTGGCTAGGGGGGGATTCGAAATATATGTTTATGCTTGCAATATGATTTGATTACTTCTAATTGCGTTTCATAAGTTGTGAATTCAATTTGTTTAATTGTTTGATTGATAACTATTTATGTATGTTTATTGAGAGTGCACGCTTAATTTTCATGCATGAATATGACGCTAGAATATAAGTGAGTTTCACCTAATAGTTATGAACTTATATTCACAAGTAGTGGAGGTTGCTTATAAACAATCGCGTTAAATGAATTCTTGGCAAGAGTATCATGCATTCATAGTTACAATTGCCTCGTCAACACTTATAATTTTCATAGAACATAATGATCTCTCATTGTATCTCTTCTATGCATTCATGTTGAGAACCATTGGAGAATGATTTGAATTGTCGCATGCATCATCCAATTCAATAACATAAGGAAAATTTAAGAGTTAATTAGTGCATCACGGTTAACTTGGGGTGTTGAGCATCATGGTTTATTGAAAAGCAATTGGAATTCGTTTTATATGCAAGTGTAACATGTGTGGAGATGAACCCCTTAGCTAGCCATCCCATCCATTCTATTCCATCAAATTCGTTTTACAATCTGTTTTGTTTCCAAGTTTCTGTTTTAATTTCAAATTCATCCAAAAACCAATCCCCCTTTACTTTATTGTCCAAATTAGTTAGAAAGTGTCTTAGTTTGTGTTTATAAGTGTTTTGATTCAATTTGTTGCACAAATTCGTCCAAATTCACCAAGGTGCTCAAAACTGCCCAGAAAGTGTTTTTAAGGCAGTTTTGAGTGTTTTGGGTGATGTTTGAGTCTTTTGGTTTGTTTTAGTATTTTAAGCGTTTAGTTTCGCATTCTTTGAGTCTAGTTTAGTGTTTTAAACTTTATTTTACGTTTTTGAGTCAGTTTCCAAGTGATTTGCAATCCCTCCTAATCCCCGGTTAAGAACGATCCCTACTTACATACTTACTACAATTGATAAAAAGAGGGTTAATTTGTGTGCGTATAAATTCTCGCATCAAATTTTGGCGCCGTTGCCGGGGATTAGCAAATTTGCTAATCCCTTGGATTGTTCGTTTCTGTTATGTATTTTAGTTTTAGTTTTTTTTATTTGTGTTTTGTTTGTTGAATTCAAGTACTAGAGAAGCACAACATGGCACTTGATAATGCTTCTCTATTGTCACAGCTCATGGAAAAGTCCCAAATGCAAAGCGTTGATATATTTGATCTTCAATCAAGGAATAACGTGTTTTCCAATACTTACAATTCAGATTGGAGTGATCATTGAAACTCTATATGGTGGGAACCTCAACATATTCAACAAGAAGGATATTGGCAGCCCTATGAGGAGTTCTATTCAACGTCTATGCATCCACCACAACCTCATATACAATATGCCCAACCAAACTCAGGTTTGTCAATAGATTATAATCAAGCTCTTAATGAATTAATTTCTTTGGTGCAGGGCTCACAAAACCAACTCGAGGAGGCTCAACAAGGAGAATATTGGCAACCATATGAGGAGTTCTATACAACACCTATGCAGCCACCACAACCTGCCCAAACAAATTCAAGTGAGTCTTTGTATAATGATACGGTTAGTAAGTTACTCACCAATTTGTCTCAGGGGCAAGAAGATCAAAACAAAGCAAGGCAAAATCAAGACAAAAGGTTGGACCACTTGGAAAAGCAAATTGGGCAGATAGCGGAGTTCGTAGGACAATTTCAAGACCAAGGCAAACTCCCTATTTCAACCATGGCAAATCCGAAGGAAGGATTTGAAACTTCCAAGGAAATCATCTTGAGAAGTGGCAAGGAGGTTGGAACGGACCCTCAACCATCAAAATCAAATCACAAGGAGGATGAAAGATTGCAATTTGAGGAAGAGGAACACACCCAACACACGGCAAGGGAGGAAACACCTTTGTCGCAGGCACCTATTGCACCTACGCCATCCAATTCAGGTAAGGTTGTTCAAATTTTAATTCTTTCTAACCCCATTCCACCCAATGTCCCTATTCCTTGCAGGTTCATGAATTCCAAGGAAGAAGAAAGTGAAAAAGACATCTTGGAAGCCCTTCCAAAGGTGCAAAGTATGGAATATCAAGAATTCGTCAAAGAGGATGTTCTTGAGGCAAACAACCCCAAAGAAGTTGAATTTCATAACACAGGACAAGTCATAACTCTCAAAACACCAAATCTAGCTGACTTTTCTAGTCCTACACCTTTCGAAGGGGTGTTTATTCTTGAGTTTATGTCGGAGCACACAGGTAAGCCACCTCCCCGAATTTCAATTTTGTTTTATACTAATATGTTGTTAATGATCCAGGCACCCACTCTAGAATTTAAACCATTACCGTATCATCTCAAGTATCACCCCCCATTCAAAGATAAATTCCATGTCGTGGGTCCTAAGTGAGAAAAGAAGTTCTTCGTCCGGCTGCAAGACGTAAAAGAAAGCGCTACTTGGGAGGCAACCCAATACACTGAATAAAACAAAATATGAAAAAAAAAAAAAATGGCAGAAAGATGGAGCCTTCACAAAGGTTGTGTACGTGAAGCCCCACTACGTGGCAACACTCTCGGAGCAGGAGGCATCGGAGCAGGAGGCATCGGAGCAGAAGGCATCAGAGCAAGAGGCATCGGAGATAGAGCATTCGAGGCCTCAATACTTGGCGGAACGCTGGATGACCCAGGAAAAAGGTGCCTCTGGAAGAAAGACGCAAGCCTTTGACGGTCACTTTGCATTCGACCTTGAGATTCTTGCATCTCATCAAGCTTCCTCTTCATGCCTGTCGAATAATTATTGGCAAGCACGTGCAAACTTTTATTCTCATGCTTAAGCTGTTTGATCTCCTGCTTGAGATTTTCCACCTCCGCCATCAATGATTCAACCTGACGGGAGCGAACAAGCAGGCGTTGGCCCATGTTGGACACAGAGCCTGCGCACTGAACACTGAGAGCCAGGGACTCTTGAACGGCCAACTCATCGGACTGTCCTGAAAGCAGCTGACTATCTTTGGGAGTGAGGAGGTTCCGAGCTACTATCGTAGCTGTTGTTGCATCCGTCATCACAGAGTCTTCGCCTGTAAGAGGGCCATGAGAAGATAAGAAAGACGGGCACCATACCTTACCCTGACGCGGCGCGACCGGATCACTGCTGAGACTCAAATCTAAGCAAATGTTTGATGGGTTAGATGAGTTAGCCATTTTTCAAGAAGTTAAAAGAGAAGGGTTGGATGGAGTAAAATCTCGACGAGCTGGAGACGATTTTTGGGCAATCTTCAAAGTGTGCATGTTAGAGGTGATCGATCACCTCTATTAAAGGAGAGGCGACACAATCACCGATTCAGAAATGAAGAGACACCACTCTTCAAAGCCGGATTTTCCTGCGTAAAGATCGCCAGCTCTTCAGACGCAATCCTGGCTTTTCAGATAAAGTGTGCAGCTTTGTCAAAAGATTTCTGACAAAGTTGAAGACGCGTGGAGGCCGAGAAAGCAGCTACACACTTTTGCCGACAAACGTAGGTGACAAAAGCCGAAATCCCGGCTTTTCAGAAAGCGTGTGCAACTTTGTCAAAAGCTCCCGGCTTTTCTGAAAAGGCGTGGAGGACATTGCCACATCCGCACTGCCACTTGACATTACAATTCCTATATACATCAACATTCATGGCAAGGCATACACCCAAAAACGCATGACTTTCCTTCTCGGCCGAGAATGTAACTGCAACCAACCCTCTCAAACATGC